AGGAATGAAGGTAAGACCAGGGACACACGGGACAGCCTTGGCGGACAGCCCAGGTCCGCCCCCATCATCTTCATTCACTCAGCAAACACCTGTCGAGCACCTACTGTGCGCCAGGCTCTATCATGAGGGTCACGGAGATGAATAAGCCATGGCCCTTGCCCAGGGGACCCTTCTGTACCCTTTTCCTGGAGTGGCACCCTGGTGGTGGCCGGCCCAGCCGGGATCCTCTCATTTTGCCTTCTCCCTGGGGCAGGCAGGCCTCTCTGGATCCTGAGTTCCTGAGCAGACCCCAGTCCCAGCTTCCCACCTCGAGAACCCCCTGCTTCACATGGGAGCCTAGTGGAGACCAGGGGTGGGGGGTCTAGATGTGGCTTTCTCTGTGAAGCCTCCCCAGTCCCAGCTGCTGCAGGAGGCGGGGGGCTGCCCCGAGGCCTGTCACGAGGGGGCCTTGTGCTCTGAACAGCATGCGGGCAGTGTTGGCATACTCCTGGACTTTGAACAGCCCCCCTGTGCTCGGAGCCTGCAGTCGGAGGCTGAAGGGGCTGCCCGGGAGGAGGAGGAGGAAGAACAGGCCTTTCAGGTCTCCCTGGAGGACCTGGCAGGGCATGAAGTCCACGAGCAGGGGGCTGGGCCAGAGCCCCCAGGCGAGGAGGAGCAGGAGGACAGCCTGGCAGTGGCGGAGCAGGTAGCTGACTTTGCCAGCTCCCTGCTGGCCGCCCTGCACTGCTGGCACTATCGGGCCAACGCTTTACTTTTCTCCCGGGGCGCTATGGTGAGGTGTCTCTTCGATCTCCCCCTCCTCCTTGCATGCCCCCTGGCACGCGCATGCCCGTCCAAGAGTCCCCTCCCCTGCCCTTCTCACCCCTCCGTCCTTGTTCCTTCCTTCCTGCCATCAGCACTTCTTAACACCTTGCTCACTGTCACGCCCTGGTGAGCCCCTGGCATTCGTTGTTCCAGCACTGGGTGCCAACCAGCATGCTACTCAATGGGCATGACTAATGGGGCACGGTTGGGGGAGGGGGAGAGGCCAGCACACAGGGAGCCGCATGCCTGGCAGGGATTTCTGGGGGTTTTTTTGTGTTTTTTTTTTGCGGTACGCGGGCCTCTCACCGTTGTGGCCTCTCCCATTGCGGAGCACAGGCTCCAGATGCGCAGGCTCAGCGGCCATGGCTCGCGGGCCCAGCCGCTCCGCAGCATGTGGGATCTTCCCGGACCGGGGCACGAACCTGTGTCCCCTGCATCGGCAGGCGGACTCTCAACCACT